AAAAGGGGAAAGCTGTTCGTTTGTTTTCACACACTGCGTACTGTATACGCACACGTGACGTTAATAACGGTGTCGCGCAAATCCATTAAGATCCAGCGTTATTGATTTAACGGTAGAGATCTGATCTCCATGTGGGTCCGATTAGTCGATTGCACCTCTCACCAAAATATTTTTTTTGTTCCAATTGGTATTATTTATCGACTTTTCAATCATATATTTTATTAACTTTTTTATTTGCTTTTTGTGAATTTTTAATGCATTAATAACAACTCGACATATTATTCTTGCAAATTTTTTTAAAATTTTAAATAGTTAAATATTATTTGAAATGGATCAAAATTGAGCATTATTAACCACTTCGTTTCAATATTGATCATTCATTATCATTAGACAAACGCGAAGCTAATATATATTTTCTTATAATCTCTCAATTCAGTCTACAATTAAGTTAATCTATGTATACTTGAGTAATGCTATGGGTACACGAAATTACCCACACAAATTGGACAGAAAACACACAGTAGGTGGGTGGGCCCCGATTTTTTTGAGCAATATTTAATTCATGTGGGCCCCCGCCCCCCCTTGTAAGTGAAATTTAAATTTCTGTAGAAAATCTGCTTTTTTTCCCTGTACTTGCAGCCTTTTTTGTATATACATTTTCGTGAATTAATATGTATTTATAATAATTTATATTGCTGCTAAGCAAAAGTCAAATAAAAAATTTGTAATTTGCACACGAGTTACACATTTGGAACCAGGTATGGAACTTTGGCTAGTAGCAACTTGTTAGGACAAAAAACCATAATCAATCATAATAAATATATCAGTAGTCAAGTACAAAATGAGAAAATAAGCTGAAGCAAAGAACATCATGATGAGGTCGGTCCATTTTATTTTTACCAAAATTTAGCTACCTTACTATACTTCATCTATGAGTTCACACCCCTTTTCACTGAGGAGCATACGAAAACTTGTTGCTTTCTCGTGTAGTCCAGCATCCTCGAATGCCTTCGAAAGTCTAGTGCATGTGGAGCTATCAAACTCTGATGTTGCAGATTGCCTCCACTGGTCGAGTACGTCGCCTACCTCTTTCAAATCCTCTACCATAAGATATGAAGAAAGTATGCATACATAGTTTCTTCCTGTCAGTTTTTGCCTAGTCATCCTCAAAGATTTCCAGATTTGATCAAGTCTTTCTTTGTTCTTCAAGGCTCCATACAGAATAATAAGGAAGTCGTAAGTGATCAATTCCCTTTGCGTGATATCCTTCTCACTTTCCACGAGAGTGTCGAAAGCTGAATGCACCAGGTGACTTGAGGTAATATATATGTCGACAAGTTTCAAATATCTAACCCAACTTTCATTACAGCCTGAATCTCGACTCATTTTGCCAAGAATCCTTCTCACCTCATCAATATTTAGAGTTGCAGCACATGAACTTACCCATAGATTGTAGGTAAATAGATCTGGTG